GCCTGTAATCCCAGAATTTGGGAGGCTAAGACAGGAGGATCACTGTGAGTTCGAGACCAGCCTGAGCCACAAAGTGAGCTCAAGGCCAACCTGAACTATATAATGAGACCCTGTCTCAAAAATTGAAAAAAAAATGAACAAAAAACATATATTGATAGTTCACACACAAAATAGCTAACAAAACATTTTACAATAGTCAATATTACCAGGAATTTTAAAATTACTAATTAAAATAAGATACTGGTATTTTTACCTATCAAACTCAGCAGAATGAGCACTGTCACACAGTGTTTGCAGGACTGTTCACTGACAAATTCTTAAAAGCTGTTTGTAACAAATAATGACAGTTTTTGATTTGGGAATCTCACTGCAGGAAATCCAAAGAAATAAACAATTTATAAAATATACATAAAGATCCTTCTCTACCAGGGGAAAGTTGGAAGCAAACTAAACGTTAAAAGGTTAGTTTTTGCCAGCTCAGTATCCCTTTAGTTAACCTAAGTTTTTTTTTCTGTCTCTAAAGTTCCCCTTCAAGTACTGGAAGAAAATATAAGGGAGACCATTAAAGCCACAGGCACAAGGAAGACTTTCTGAACCGGGTCCCAACCACCCAGGAAATCAAAGCAAGAGTCAACAAATGGGTCCACATCGCAATAAAGATTTTTTTTTTTAATCACTTCTCAGCTTTTTGGCTAAGATTCAGTGCAAAATAAAGTTTCTGTGCAGCCAAGGAAACAGAATAGAGAGAGAGACTGCAGAAAGGAAGAGAAACCTTTGCCAGCCACTCCTCAGACACAGAATTCATGTACAAAATATAGAAAGAACTCAAAAAGCTTAACACAAAAGCCAAGAGCCTGATCAGTATGTAGGCAAATGAACTGAACACAGACTTCTCGAAAGAAGTACGAATGGCCAATAAGTATACAGAGAAAAATGTTCTATCTTTAGCCATCAAAAATATACAACAAAACACTCACCCCTCTTAGAATGGCTATCATCAAGAATACAAAAATACCAGAAATCCTGGCAAGGATGTGGGGAACACTGTTGGTAGAAATGTAAATTAGAAGGGTCGCAGTGGAAATCAATATAGAAGTTCCTACAAAAACCGAAACTAGAACTGCCATATAATCAAATTGTACTACTTGGTACACATGGACCCCGAGGAATTGGAGTCAGCACTCTGTAGGATACCTATGTACTCATGTTTATTATAGCGTAATTCACAATAGCCAGGATGCGGAGCCAGCCTAGATGCCCACCAACAAACAAAATGCAGTATATACATAGTGAAATATAATTCAGCCATAAAGAAGGAACAGTTGTGTCATTTGCAGGAAGATGGTTGGAACTGGATATCATGTTAAGTGAAATAAGCCAGACTCAGAAAGACATGCATTGGATGTTCCCCCTAATATGTGTGAGGGGGCTGTCATGAAAATAGGAAACAAGAAAGTACTAGATAAGAGGAAGTCAGTAATGGGATGGGTGGAAGACATACAAGGGAGAGAAATGAGATAGATTTGACCAAAATGTGTTATACGCACGTATGAAAGTAGTACATTGAAGCCCAAGTTTGTAAAATTAGTAAGCATTAATAAAAATTTTTAAGTGTCTCTCTTCAAAATTCTCCCAGCCCCTGTGGTTCTGATGGTGCTGAAATGAACCCACCATGCCAGAAAAAGACATGTGACCCAAGCTTAACCAATGAGGGGTCCCGCTCCCAGACACAGTGATTATTTAGGAATGGGGGGAGGCGGTCATCTACGGTCCTGTATGATTCTGGCTGCGACTGGAATCAACACAGTGGAAAATGAAGCCAGGAAATAAAGACTGAGCTCTGGAAGAGAATGTTAGTATGAATGAATTTCTCATTTGTTTAAATTACTTTGACTTGGATTTTGGACCCTAGCAACAGAGTCCCTATGCAGTTATTTTGTAGCCTGGAGAGATCCTGCAGCCTTTTAAGATCTCCTGGCCAGTGATTTCTGATGAAGTGGAAGAAGTGTGACACACAGTCCATGCACAGCATGATCATGGCCTTGCTTAAATATTTCATCAAAGCGAAGGCTGGAAGAAAATACAAAATATTAGCAGCCACACTAGCTGGTAAGATTATGAACCTTAAATTCTTATTTTCCATATTTTCAACACACATACAAGCATGTTTATAAGTAGAGACAATTTGAGTGACTCCCCTTGAATGCAGAACAAATGCTGCACCATTAGTTAAATTGAGTCTTATTTCCAAATACTGGTGTGTAGAGTGGGCTGTGCTCTTTACTTCAGCTTTCAGTTAGCTCATCAGATGCAAATGAGGCAAGCTGAGGTACTGCTATATAACCCCGGAGGCCAACCTGACAGTTTCCTGTTTCCTTGATAGTGCTCTCTATAAGATTAAAGCACAGTGGGATGGTAGAGCCATTCAGCTCCAGGAACGCCAGCCGGTACGAGCCTCAAAGTAAGAGGCTGTGGCCACTCAGGGCACAAAAGTTTACATATCAAAAACTGAAGCAACGGCCTCCTAAATTCATTCACATGCTATCCTAGTCAAGTTATGCAGACTGGTCTTTCTGCATATCTCCTTGAATATTACAAAGATGCTTTTCTTTTGTCATGGTTTACGTCTGTGGCCCCCAGGCCTCAGGAGTTTGAATTGTGCATTTGTTATTCGGTCATTGTCTAGTGCTTAGATTGATGGTGTCAGTGCTCCACCCACAAAGGGGTGGAGCCAGGATGTGATGTAATGGCAGGAAGAAGGTGTCTCTTGCTCTTTGCTAGTTCCTGTTTGCTGTTTGCAGCCACCATGAGCCGCGTCACAGCCATGCCCGCCTGCCTTGGAGCCAACTGAGTGTGGACTGAAACCTCCAAAAACTGTAAGAAATAAACCTTTTCTTTCCCAACTTTGGGCTTCAGGTATTTTGTCTCAGTGATGAGCAAATAGTAACTAAAACATCTTCCCACCTGGATAGTCAGTTCAAGTTACTCATGTAGTACCTGCCATCTTCTCTGTCACTCATCCTCAAACCACTCTCCTCTTCACAAGATAATAAATCCTGGGAGAGGCCTGATGTTTGTCTGTGTATCCTCACTTGGATCAGGCTTTGGAGGACCCCTGGGATGCTCTTAACTTTAAATACATCTTAGTGTCTTTACTCTCGCCATGGGTTGTATTGGAAAAGAGATTGAAATTAATTTCCTAGGATTCCAATAACACTTCAATGAGATTACAAATATAACTTTTGAAATAGTGAGAAAGATTAGAAAAGGGATTACAATACTTGGATTATAATATTCAATATTTGAATTACAGTATTTATATATCTTACAATAGCAAGGAAAAAACAAAAGGATCGATGAATTCAGACCAACTTTAATTTCAAGAGGTCTTCAGTTATAATCATCTTTCCAGATGAAAACACACAGACATCTGATCCGCATGTCTGTGAGTTCTGGGTAATATTTACTAGCCAGCATTACCCAAGGTGGGGTGTGATTTCCTCAGCACTAACAGGAAAACTCACCCCTTTATAAAGAGTGGAGTCTCCTCAATTACTTTGTGACTGTCACTCTGAATACTTCTAAGTGGGGAACAGGACATTTGCAATCTCTAGTTTGAACATTTGTGCATTTACTTCATTGACCCTTTCTTTATTTCATAGTGGATTTTTCTCCAACCCACTGCATACTGGTAAGGAATTAAAACCTGCATCAGAAGCCAGAATATACTAAAATTACTTGCCATGGTTTGGTAATGACCACTGGCCCTGACCAGCAGAGCAGATGAGTGGCTGCAAATTTAGCCACCCGGGCTCTAAAGCTTCAGGCACCTCCTTGGTCACCGCATTTCATTTATCTGTTTGTAATCAGGGCCAGCCTTGCTCCCTGGACCACAGCCGTCACTCCCTACCTTACCCCTCTGCAGGCCAGGGCTCAGTCCCACTGGGAAGTCCAGCGTGGGAGAGATAAGCCCGTGAAAATTACCAGCAACCGCAGGCCAGGCCTCTGCTTCTCCTCCTGCCCCGAGCTCTCTGTACTCCAGGGTCGCCATCAACACCATCCTCCTCTTACCCTGCCCAGGACGTCAGACTCAAAGACTTGATTAACGGAACTGCACGCAAAACCCACATCGGCACAAAAAAGAAGTCTACACTGCCCTCTCGTGGCCACTCAGAATGTACTGCGACACATTCCATTGCGCACCTTCCATTGTAAAGGAATTTGCCTGCACCTGCTGCGCAAAGCTGGCTGTATAATTGAGAGGTTCAAGTCGATTTTTAAAAACCAGGACTTTTTAAGGTAAGATGTCTCCTCCAGCTTCCTCATGCTGAGAGTGGAAACTGCCACACACACACACATCCAGCCTTGGCACGAGGGCCCCTGGGCCCTCTGGTGGGCTGGAACCGGGCTACATCTCTTCCAGGTTGTGCATTTCCTGGCCCCATCTATAAATCAGAGCGTATCTGTGTGCTCTCGAGAGGGGGGGGGGATCTGTTCTCCCAGTTTGGTCAAATGTAAATAAACTCATTTTTCCATTTTTTATGGGCTTTTCTGATATTCTTGATGGCCATAAATAAAGTGAATTCTCAAAGCCAGGTTCGGGTCTTTGACAAATCTCTGTTGGCAACAGCTGGTTTCACCCTCTAGAATAACGAGGTCCAACCTGAATACAGGCATATTTCTATGCCACCAAGTGCTGAAAACAAACTTCACATTAAGAGGGTAAAGACAGCCAAACAGATGCTCTGAACCCTAGTTCTGCCTTAAGGTACCCCAGAACCCAAGGACGTGTGACAATGGCTGGATGCTGGCCATTTCCCAGACTCTAGGACAGGAGCTTCTCCCCCGTAGGAAAGAGGGTTGTCACTCCCTTGGCGTTGGGGAACAGTCAGCAGTTGATTAAAGGGTACATTCAAATGAAACCACCAGATTTCTGACTGGACCATGACATGGAGTAATAAATATTAACACCTATGTTTAAGAAAATAAGTGCACCAAGCTTTCTTAAATAATGCTTTAATTATTGATCCTTTGCATTTTGTATTAGTTCATGTCTGAGATGCATAATGAATACATTTGTTATGGAATTACGGATGCTCTGAATAACAGGTGTATTTTACTAAGTTTAACGTACATCATTTTTCTTAAACAAAAGCTGTCTGCTAGATTTAAGTTCATCCTCTTGTTAGCAAGCATGATGACTCATTTCTCTTTTTCATTTAAGGATTCAGTGGTTTAATTCTTGCTACTTCTTTCAGAACGATCTCACACATCTTGAAATCAAATATGTAGGTTTAAAACTAGAGTATCTTCTCTTCTGAAATGTGATTTCTTTTTTAACGGCCATGTTATCTTCCCTCAGATGACTTGATTGAGGTAGCAAAGCATTCAGAGCTATTTAGATTTAGTGCAGCTGAGGAAGGCTGAGGTCACTTTTGAGAACGTTTATATTAAAAAGCTGTGGAGAGCAGCTGAGGAGGGGGAATTTTGGCTCCGGCTGAAGCTGGTTCACACTTCTACTTAGAACAGAGTATCAGAAATATGCAAAACCCCTGCCCTTCTCTTTCCTTTGCAATCCCATTTTGGGGCCAAAAAGGAAAACAGTATATGTGCATGCTTTGAATGGAAGAGGCCGACTAGAGTGAGTTTTACCAATGCCTTGAATGTAAAAAGCTTGGGAAGTTCCTTACGAGAACTTTTTTGCCTCTGTTGGATGGGGAATACACAGAATTGTCTGATGAACAGAGACAGGAGCAGAAAGCGCCTGTTTGTCCTCAAGGCCAGGGACAGGAGCGCTGGTGCAGCTGGGGCAAGGAGGCACGCAGCACAGTATCTGCCAGGAATCAAGCACCTCCAGCGGCCCAGGGGTGATCTCAATCTGTTGTGGTTTTGGTACTGAGGATCGAACTCATGACCTCACGCTTGCCAGGCAGGTACTTACGCCACTAAGCTAAATCCCCAGCCCAATCTAAATCTGACACTTGTTCTTCATGGACCACCACTGGAAAAATAATTGAATTGATAATACAAAACTTCTTTGATTATAATAAAAGAGGTTTCTTTATGCAAATAGCTTCAAAATATGGAAGGAAAAAAGACTCACGTTTTCCAAGAAATTCAGTACAGGCCCAACATTATTTTATAAGCAAACAAGCAAACCAACCAGCATGAGACAGAAAACTGACCAACACTCTAGGAAATGCCCACGAGAAGTTAAGGCCTTTCAGTGTGCGTGAACCATCCTGAGAAACTTCACGTGTGAGGTTCAAGTCGCCGCGGTACTTCACCTAGAAAGGGGAAGGGAGAGGAAGAATTCCCATTAAAATGCACTGACAAGCTGGGGATTTAGCTCAGCGCTATAAGCACCTGCCTGGCAGATCTTCAGAGTTGATTCGCTCTAGGGAAGGGCCAGAAAGACTTGGGAGCCAAAAGTTGAAGACGTTGAGTTAATCTTTGCCACTTTAGCTTGGGGAAGATCTGTCTGATTTAATAAAGCACAGGTTTCCAACTTTTTATTTTACCAGAATGGCCAGGCCCTTGTGAGTGGCTCCCCATAGACATGCAGCCCCAGCCCCTTATGGACATCACAGAACACTCCCAAGACTACGACGGCTCTGCTGGCAAATTGAGTGGGGCTCTGAAATGGGCATCTGGTGAGACAGGACAGCTGTCAGACATCACCCAATGCTAATCAGCTGGTCACTGCCTCGGAGGGGACCCTGCTGAACCTCTGGTCCCCCTCCTGGCACAAAGGGAAATCTTGTTTTATCTCTGAGCTGCAGAAAAGGACTCACTCAACTTCACAGTAGCACGAAGTTGACAGATGTCTGTTTTACTCACTAATTCAGTGTAGAAACTTAAAGGAAAATGTACTTTGGTTGTTAAAGCAAGCACTGCCCTAGGGATGCTCTTTCCCTGAAGATATCTGTATTCCAGAGACTGCGATGTCCTGGAAAGGTGAACTTTAACCTCAGAGGGGGCTGCCTTTCTTATGGTCTCCTCTGGCAGTTGTCTCCTGGTGCTGATGCTGTCACTGCTACTATACTCCTAAACAGTGGGAGGCTTTGCCAGCCCGATGAGGATCAGCCATCTGGGCCTCCTCTCTTGCACCCATGGCAGCAGGATAAACACTAGGACTGTTGGGACCTGACTCAAAGAGATGATCAGCCTGACAATCAGCCAGTGCTTCCAAAGTACCTGCCCTGTGCCACACCCTGTCCGCTGTCCCAACTGGCATTTAAAAATAGAAGTAAGTTTTTAAACTCTGGGCTTCCCTGTCAAGAAATTTACCACCACATTGGAAAATCAGCACATCAACATGGCCTGTTCCACAATAGATAAATCAGTGTAAGAAGGTAAGCTCCCCGCGGGGAGAATCTGGCAAAGGCGTGGCTGAAGTGAATGTGAAAAGGAAGGGACTTGGGACCAGCAGTCCCCAGGCTCCTGGAATGGATGATTAAGTTTAGAGCAGGTGTGCAGGACAACTGTCCGCAGAATTTACAGTGAGTCATTCTGAGAGGTGTTTGCTTGGCCCGTGTGTTCCTCAGCCCCAAACTGCTTCGGTTACATCGCCACGAGCCATGTACCTACCATCCCATCCCTCCTCTGTCCCATGACCAAAATGCCTGCACAAATGTTGCAAATGTTTTTCTTCTCCATTTTTGTTCTCACTTCTGTTAGTTACAAATAAATAGCCCCTGAGGCTTCAGCTCAGGGCTGTTTCCCTGAAGCTTTCTCTTTCAGAGAACCAGCCCCTTTCAGCTTCTCTCTGTGACTGAACAACTCTCATTTCTGAATAATCTTTCATCTTCTGCACCACCTCGCTCACCTACTGGGCCAGCCCCAACGAAGCCACTGCGGACAACCCAGGCTTAGTATCACCACTCTGATCTCCCCAACATCCGTCAGCCACTACCACAGGGAGCTCACCGCAAATGCACGGGTTCGAGCTGCCAGCTGCCGGGAGGCCAGCAAAAACGGGCAGTACAGAGAGACTGCAGGGCTGGAGTCCTGACACAGCCACCTCCACGCTGTGAGCATCAGTTCCATTTTACAGAGGTGAAGACAGCACCACATCTGAATGCTGGAGACACTCGGGACAGTGGACAGTGGACAGTGGACAATGCTGGGTGCGTGAGAACTTGGAAGTTCAGAACCTGGCCAGGCTTAGCAGCGTGAGCTGCTGCTGTTACTACTGTTGCTGTTATTGTTACTGTTGTCACCTCCCATAAGGCCTGTGGGTGCCAGCTATGCCAGGATCCCGAGTCACATGGGAGGAGCCCCAGTCCTTTGTATTCCTTCCTCTGAACCCAGACCTCTCTCTATAGGATCTGACCCCTTCCCCCAGGCCCTTCCCATCCACAGATGCTTCTCCCTCCTCTCCTGAGGTCACTGTGGTGGCCACTTCCTCCCCTTCAAGGACCTAAGTCCAGTGGAGTAAGTCACACCTGCTCCTTCAGGTGCTCAGTCCTGGGGGATGACGGGGACAGATCACTCGCTCAGACTCAGATGTGCAAAGTCCACAGTCCAGAGCACCAGATCTGAGTCTCAGGAGAAAAAGCGGTCCCAATGTCCCTCTTCCACACTCCCTCAGACTACAGAGGAACTACAGATAAAATATACAATGCAGTTAATGTATATAAGTAACAAAACCTTTTTTGTATTTGTTGTCATAACGAGGAAGAAAAAATGGTGAGCTTCAGGTGAGGCCTGTCTGCAGGTGACCTGGAGCACTAGTGTTTCTGTGACTTCCTCCCACAGAAATGCAGAAATCACTGATACTTTCAAAGCATGTTACCAGTATTGTAGGTATCTTAAAATTCTGTCTTCAGGCTTGCATACTTTGGAAGTAAAGTTATAGACTCATCGCTAGATCTTATATTAATGTGAATTTTAAAAGCTTACTTAGCACTATACCCGTATTTTAAAATATTTTTTATAAAATTTCAATACTGTCAGTTTCTTTGGTAATCTTGTATATATTGTGCACTCAGATATTACTCTGAGAAGGGGTTCACAGGCTTTACAGCCTGCCACAGGTGTCCATGATGAAGGGGTTCCCCCAGTGCACCCTCTTGTTTTAGAAGGCTGAGTACCTCTGATAAGGGCTGCAGTATTAGAAAGATGAAAGACGCAGAAATACTTACTGAATTGTGGCATTATAGTATTCTTCAGGTGTCACTATTTTGGCTCCACCAAAGTAGTCCAAGACCCAGATATTGGTTATATTTAACTTAGCGAAGAACCAGTTATGGCTAGATGGCCAGGTTTTCATCTCGGGGTGACGAATGAATAATGAATGTTTTGCAAAGTCCATTTCCGTTTTATTCACCTAAAAGGCAAATGTGGAATATTTATTCTAATGTGTGGTTCTGGCACTTAACAAATGATCCTGTGTTTATTTTGTAAATCTTGAGCATACACTTAAGAGCAAATCAAGGATGGAGGAAGAATACAGGAATCATGATTTCAGAGGTTGGTGATAACAGATACGGTGGAGTAGGACCCACCCTAACTTCTGTTCTCATCGCTGAGCGGTAACTCTTAGCTACTCAGCTAAGCAGTACCAGGTATCATCATGAAAGGTCACACGTGCCTGCGACATGCACACCTATCTGTGACACCTGAGCAGTGAGTGTACATGAAGGGTAAAGATCTGTAGAAGCAGCACTATGGGACCCTGTCCTCTCTCTTCCTCCTACCAGGGAAGGACAATCAATGACAGAGATCCACCTACCAAGAATTCCCAGACCACAAATCAACTGGTCTGAGGTTTTTTCATTTCATTTTGTTTTGCTTTTGCTTTTTTGTTTTTTGAGACAGCGTTTTACTATTAGTTTGGGCTGCCTTGAACTCACTATGTAGCTCCTGGTGGCCTTGAGCTCATGGTGATTCACCTACCTCTGCCTCTCAAGTGCTGGGACACCTTGCCACTGTCCTTCCTGTGAATTGACTTAATAAACTCCCACTAGCATTCATCCCAAATGCTAAATCCCCTGCCAGTTTTTAGTATCAGATTCTCCTCTTGTTAGCTGCTTAATATTCCCTCTGCCCTAAGCCTCTGTGAAAATATGGTGACAGGGTCATGGGAAATGTGGTACACATACAATATGACAGTAGTAAGTTCAGGCTGAGCAGATGTTCCTCAGCAAGAATAATTTTATACGAGAGCTTTATACTTGCTAGATTTGTTTGGATTCAGAAAATAGTTCACATTCCTCATAAACATCCTAAATGAACACCTTCATAGAAACAACTGACTAAATCTTTAGTTTTCTCCTAAAATTCATCTGGAACCACAAGAGACCTAGAATAGCAAAGGCAATCCTGGGCAATAAAGGCAAGGCAGGAAGCATCATAATCCCTGACTTGAAATTATACTACAAAGCTACTGTGATAAATCAGCATGGTACTGGCCAACCCTCCCCTCCCAAAAAAACAGACCCAAGGAACAGAATGGAAGATACAAACACAAATACAAACACACTCAGCCACCTTACCTTTGACAAAGGGTCCAAACATGTTAACTGAAAGATAGCCTCTTGGATGGATGGTGCTGGAAAAACTGGCTTTCCCCATGCTGAAGACAAAAACTAGACCCATGCCTATCACCATGCCACTAAAGTCAAAATGGATCAAATGTCTAAATATTAAAACCAAAACACTAAATGTACTGAAAGACAAAGTTGGTAGAAACACTGACGACGTAGGGGTAGGCCGAGAGCTCATGAGCAGAAGTAAACTGCACAGGAGATACTTCAAAGGATCAACAACCAGGACCTCATCTTATTAAAAAGTTTTGCACCTCAAAAGAAATCACCAACAGAGTGAAAAGACAACCCATGAATTGGATTTTGGCCAATCATCCCTCAGACAAAGGACTTCTATCTAGAATATATAATGAATTTTAAAAATTGGGCCCCTCAAATTTAAAGACCCAATCAAAAAATGGGCATCTGAGATAGGCACATACTTCTCAGATGACAAAATACAAATGGCAAACAAAGATATGAAAAATGTTCAACATCTTTGGTCATTCAAGAAAAACGCAAATTAAAACCACACTGAGATTCCATCTCACCCCAGAAAAAAGGTTAGCATCAAAAAATCATTCTATAACAAATGCTGACAGAGCTGTGGGGAAAAAGGAACTGCACTGTTGGTGGGAGTGTAGACTTCTGTAACCAGTGTGGAAGTCAGTGTAGAAATTCGTCAAAAAACTAGGACTAGAGGTCCCATTCAACCCAGGTATTCCCCTTCTGGGTACTATTCCAGAAGAATTGAAAGCATCATACCACAGTGATATATGTGCACCCATTTTTATAGCAGCATAATTTATAATAACTAAATCTGGGAAAGAATCCAAATGCCCATCAATCAAGGAATGGATAAAAGATGTGGTATTTTTATACAATGGAGTACTACTCAGCTATAAAGAAGGATAAACTCAAAGCTTTTAGTAAATGGAAACTAGAGACTGTACTCATAAGTGAAATAAATTAGGCTCGCATGTGTAAACATCACATTGTCTCCCTAGTTTAAGAAACTGAAAGAGTAAATAAGATCCAAAATGTACAATAGACATTGTGAAAGGGAAAGAAACTGTTCTAAAGGAAAGAACAACTGGGATGGGGGAAAGGAGGAAAGAATAAAGAGGAAAAATATATGTATAAAAACAAGATAGCTAAGGTGATTGTATGACTCATTCTGTCAGTTCATTGAAAGACAGTACTTATATTGTTAAAGCAATTTTGCATGTCTATATGTGGTAATCTGAGCAACTATTTTGAAGACAACAGTATACAATATAATAACCATTGTAAATTTCCTATCATCTTGTTTTGAAAATCTGTCCAGTTTTTAATGGTTTTTTAAGTTCTCTTTAAAATAAAAAGAACTTAACAACCTTAGTTTTCATGGAGTTACTTCACACATTGGAACCTACCCTCACTGAGCATGCCAATCACTTGTCTCATACACTCAGGAGAGCTCTCCTTTCCTTGTTCACACACTGACACTCTTCTAACACCGTCTCTCCTTGCATGGTGCACTATTTACCTTGATCACTGTTCCTGAAAGCATTATGTGAACACACAGGGGACTCTGCGGATCAAATTTGTTCTTCTTGCAGAAGTCAGTCTGCGCCAAAGACATGGTGAGCGAGGCGTGCGGATTTTCCTGCAGAGAGAATGAATATCCTCTTGTGTGAAACACAGTTTCCGGACAGGTAACACATTTGTTGAGCTGCATACACGATGGCCCTGGAGCTGGCACATTCTTCCATGGAACAGTGAACCGTAAGCCGGAACCTTCCACTCAGGGAGAAAATACCACTCGGATAAGACAAATCCTGACCCGCAGGATATTTCCTGTTTAAAATTAACTGACTCCATAAGAACTACTTTAAAACATTTTTTTCTATAAATTTAAAATCAGGTCCATATCCTTCAGATGAATTATAATTAGTAGCACCCACATTCGAGGCTGGTGATAGGCTTTACTGAACTATTCAAGCTGACAGACTTAGGGTTAACCACTACCACAAACAAATACATAAAAAACGCCACGGTTGTTCTACCAGTTCATTACGCAACTGGAGCAGGAGAACGGCTGAATCATGCTGCTGCTTATCTCCCGGTCGCAGGAACTGTCATGTGATGTCAAAACTGAAGAAGTTGCTTGTTCTTGGTGTGAAAAACAAGAGAATCTATAGCTCAGATTCAAAATGTGAGGCAAACAAAATTCTTTTCTATTCAGAAATCAGATTCATAAAGACACCACTGACAGAATGCTGTATGTTTCAAACACTGCATTCCAGAATACTTAGCTTTACACCCTAGGTGTCTTTGGGGAGATTTTTCCATTTCACATCAAACACAGTGAGTCCTGCAGAGTTCTCCTTGAGGTCATTTAGCCCCAAAATATCTACTGTCTCCAAGCTATTTGGCAAGGTACTATAGGAAACCAAGAAAAAGGGGCTCTCAGTTAAGGCCTCCACAATGTGGCTAAAAAGTCAGAGATAATCAAAACCTAGATAATGCAAACCAAAAATACAGAAGAGGTTAAAAACAGACACGAGCAGGAAAGTGTAGTCAACTTTCAGTGTAAGGAGATGTCAACATAGCCTGCAGGGAAACTATGGGGGGGGGGTCTTGTACTTAAAGTTAGGACATAATTGGGGGACGCGTGGCAGGTGAAGAGAATGGCAAAAAACAAAACTGGGAAGGTGAGAGACATAAAGAATGACAGTGAGGAACTCAACTTGCTGGAAAGAGAGGGCCAAAGTGGGTATGGGGGTCAGCATCAGTACCTTCCAAGACCCACCCCTGTACCCCAAGTGGTCCTTTTAGGGGAGGGACAGTAACTGGGATGCAACCCAAGGCCTTTGCACTGAGCTACATCTCCAGCCCTTTTCTGAGATAGGGTCTCACTAAATTGCTAAACTGACCAAGCAGAGCTCAAATTTGCAGTCCTTCTGTCTCAGCCTCCCAGAGTGCTGGGATTACAGGCACCTATCACCAGGCCTAGCCGTTAAGTGATTCTTAAGCAGCAACTAGCAGTGGATAGAAGTTTCTAGGCAACTAATATCGCTGTGAGAAGTATTTTGTTAATGTAAATCTAGTGGTCAGAGTGACAGGGCAGAAGATTTAAGTGTTTTCAGGCATGCAGTGATGAGAACGTAGCCAAAGGATGGGGTGACAGAGATAAAGAAGGGAGAGGGATGGAAGCAAACAGCATGAAAGAAAAACCGGCAGATTTGGGAAAGCAGAGATGCTGGAGAGGCAGCGGGAATGCCAATGTTTGCTGAGAAATTCCATTAACAGAAATGTAGGAGCTCAAGGGAAGCGGTTTCAACAGGAAGAACTGGACTTAAAAATACTGAATTCGAGGCAACAGTAAACTTGTGAAGTAAAAAGGAGAAGCACACAGTTAGAAATAGAACTAAAGGGGCTGGAGATTTAGCTCAGCGGCATAAGCACCTGCCTTGCAAGCAGGCAGTCGTGAGTTCAATCCCTGGTACCGATAAAAATGAAAAAGACAAAAAAAAAAAAAGAAAGAAATAGAACTAAAGAGACGAAGCCAGGAAAGTCTATATAATCTTACAAGGATCAAGAGAAAGGAAGAGTTAGAAATGGACTCTGGGAGACATTGTTAGTGAATCAGAAAAAAAGAAAAAGAAACACCAGAGTGAGCAGAGAGGCTCAATTCAAAAGAAAAGAGTGTCAAAAAAGTGGGAGCAGTAGCTTGAGGAGTTGGTATACACACTGGAGCCAAGATTTCTGACTCCCTGGCGGTGCAGCTTGAACGGTACCATTACCACCCAACACTAGCAGCATCTCCATAGACGCTTTTACTATACACAAATGTCACAGGGGGAAGAATGCAAAATGAACATCCTGATGGCAAGGGCATTTGAACCAGTGAGTTATGGGGAACAGGCATTTGACACAGGAGAAGTGGTCCCTACCAGGTCTTTGTATCCCTTCCAAACTATTCATTCCACTGAGTCTAAGAGATAGAAGGAAATGAGGTGAACAGGGCAGAGGTCCTGAAGAGTTAGGACCGAATACTATAAACTGGAGGTCAGATCTGAGTCTGCTAAAACGCAAAGGGCCTGAAGAGCTAAGCAATCTAGAAGGAGCCCTGAAGGGTAAAATGTAAGTAAGTCAGCCCCGTTTCTGGGCACCAAAGGCCTAGCAGGGAAAATCAGCCTGTACCAAAAACACAGAAAAGCCCCAAGTCTACATTTTTACTGCATTTTGGGGGTGGATACTTTTCATTCTTTTTAATAAACTCACATTCAGTCATTCCCCACTGCTGTTGTGTGGACTTCAGTCTTTGTCCCCTAGAAACAAAGACCCAGGGTGAGTGAGAACTGATTACACCACCCTTGCCTCCCAGTGAGAAGACCCTCATGAATCCTGGTGGTCTGAAAGAGGATCAGCAGGGGGGGGGGGGTGGACAGAAACAAACTTCAGCTGACAGAATCAGACAAATTCTGATATGGTCTTCAAACTGTCACCTTGGAAACCTGAAACCCTGGGAAAGTTTCTCTGTGTTTTTAGAGATTATCAAATACCTGGGCTGTCACAGGTGACTCCCATGCCTGAGTCACAGCTTCCTCATTTTTTTAATGGGGATGACATCAGCAACTCCCTAGTTACCTCACGAATTTAAATATGATCATAGCAGTGATGCTCAATCTCTCTTTTCTGGCGGTAGCGGCAGGAGGGTGTCTTAGAATAAAATGTGTTTTTAAGCCAGGTACCATGGCATGCATCTGTAATTCCAACATTCTGGGAAGCTGAAGCAGGAAGACTGCAAATTTGTGCCCAACCTGGATAACTGAGACATCTCAAAATGAAAAATAAATAAAAAAGGCAAGGGATATAGATCAGTGCAAAGGTCCTAGGTTCAATCCTCACTCCCAACCTTCCCTAAAGTTTTAAATAAAATGCATTGGTATTGCATTTCAATAGTCTTCCCAAGTCCTGGGATCTGTAGCCACATTGAGCAAATGCCTAGTGGAAAACTGTGGGCTGGGACTAAGAAAACAATGCACTGGGCCATGGGTGCCTCAGCTGAAGGCCCAGCTGCTTCTGTTTTTGCTCAAAAACTCTAGGCGTCTGGTGTCACTCCATCTTCTCCTTTTCAAGAGAAGATATAAATTTAAACTTTTAAAAGTAAACTCTCAGTTTGAAAAGACTGGTTCCAAATTTGAATGCAGCTGGAATTCTGCACGGATCAAAGAAAAGTGGGGTGTGGCCTGTGGTTTGAAGGTAGGTGGATCCGATATGAAGCCTGTGTAAGAGTTCAGTTCTTCATCCGCAGCATGAAGTTAGTAAAGCCTTCTGCACAAAGTCACTGAAGAGTCAACAAAAGGAAACAAACAGACCTAGAAGGCCAGAATACCATCCCGCAGATGTTTAATTAAACATCGGTTTCCTTTCATCTCTCTTTTATCAACCTCGACCCTTTCCAATTAACCTAAGTCTCAGACCTTCCACAGAATCAGGCTCAGTTCCCTCCCCTGAGGCTGTGAGCCCACGTTGGGGCAGCAGAGGTCCACCTGAGCATAAGTTCACCCTGCCCTGGAAGGAAGGCAAAGGATGGGGAGGGGACAGGTGGTCAGTCAGTCCTGCTGTCCCAAGGCCACTGGGCCTAGGAAGGCCTAATATTGCAAGAAGCATCAGAATCATCAGTGATGCTGTGAATTAGCTTTTTATAGCTGGCTGAAAGACTTTGGGGGTGGAGGGTGGGTACTGGGAATTGAACCCAAGACCTTTGCGTTGAGCTACATCTTCTATCCCTTTAAATTTATTTATTTACTTTTGAGATAGAGTCTCACTATGTTGCTAAATTGTCCACGATGAATTAGAACCTGTGATCTTTTTGCCTCAGTTTCCCAGAGTGCTGGAAATACAGGCCATGTACCACCATGACCCTGCTGAAGGAAAATTCTTAATTCACAAAAGATAAAGAAAAACCTCGAGGTCATTTACATAAGATGCTTAACTACCCAACAATCCCTATGTCCTGTACAACTAAATATCAGAGCCCAGTTAACCCAGACAACTTGTCCCAGCACGGCTGGCGACAACTACGGATGAGGAATGGCAAAGCACTCACCCCCACTTTATACATGGGGAGGGGGAAGGTTGGTCCTGGTACGCAATCGCCTAACATCTGAGATGCCGTAATGCCTGCCTGGCCCTTGCGAGACATAAGACATACGGGTGGAACCAGGTTCAAATTCTGGGATCCAGAAGCCCTACAGTCGCTGGCAGGCAGCACCCTGGGGACCAGGCTGGGGGCCCCCCTCACCCACCTCCAGGTTGTGGACCGTGAGCTGCAAGGGAGACATGAAGAAGTAGGGCACGCCACTGCCCGCGCCCGGAGGCCCGTCGCTGAGTGACAGCACGTCGGCGAAGGGCTGGCCGCGCACCGCCTCCAGCGTCGAGATAGTGGCCAGCGCGCCCCAGGCACTGACGTGCGTCACAAACCGGGCCACGCGCGCCGCGTCCTGGCGGGGTGGCAGCGGCGGCATTGTCGTAGGTTTCTCCCAGTCTCCGAGGTTATGACCACCGTAGCTTCCCGCTGGCGACACCAGCAGCGAGAAGAGCGCGGACCCCAGCAGAGCGGCAAGCAGGGCGCGAACACAGCGAAAGCCTAGGTTTGCCATGGCGGTCTCCCGCAAACGGCCAGTGAGGCGCTACTTATGGGTTCCGATTCTCCAGGCCACGCCCCGGACACGCCCCCTGAGGAGACCAATCAGAGTCGAGAAAACTGGTGGGGCGGGGCCTGCGCGCTAAGCCTCCCGTAGGAGGGAACGTCTGTTTCTGCACCTTCCACCTACTCCTCTGCCTCTAAGGATTGCGAGTTTGCTCTAAATGGAATGTTTATTTTGCCTACAAGAGAAGAAGGAAGGCTGGAGGAAATTAAGCAACTCGCCCAAGTCTTAAGGCTAAGAAACGACCGAATTCTTAACCCCCGCGGCGCGCACACCTTTGGCATTGACTACCGAGCGCCGAAGGGGAGAGGCTGTGTCCGGCGCGCGGACTCTCATCAAGGAGCAGCCAGATCTCAAGTAAAGGATGGGATGACAGACTGCCTAGGACAAGGGCACGAAGAGGGTGTTAGTCCACTCTCGGTATCCGAGGCATGAGTTTGAACTGGCCGGTGTGGAGCCGATAAGGCAGCAGGTTTGGGCCGGTAGTTTCAGGAATTCGTCGGCCTCGCGGAAGGGGTGTTTCCTTTTCTATCTTCCAAGGATATGCCCTCATTCTGTTCTGGTAGATGAGCTTGCACTAGTTGACCCGCCTGCATTTCAAGCCGTGTTGATATCTTTTCAGAGAATCTTAATTTTTTTTTTTTTGAGACGTACTGTATTTCAGCCTTTGTGAGCCAGTCTTGTGGGCAGGTGTGGGCAGCAGGTGTGTGAGTTGAAGTTCTGTATGTCCTCGCCTCAGACTCAGCTTCTCTATGCTCGGTAACTTCCGGGTTACTCGGCAGAAACTTAGGGATATTAACAAAATCTGCACTGGAAATTTTCCCTCCCTTTGGTGGCCAAACGAGGTCACGCACACTGGTCTCCACGTGGAACTGAGAGGACTGGGAGATGTGCTCAAAGTTGGTTTTGTCTTTTAACCATTGAATTTGGGAGACCTTCAAGCCAGGTGGAAAACGAAGTGGGCAAAATTCAAAGGGAAAAAGGCGAGTCCGTCACTTGCAGAAATAATAATAATACAAATAGTTTGAGCACTGAACTATTACAAATATTTTGTCCTTAACTCACCAACAAAAAGACACGTGTAATTTAACATTTGTCGATCTAATCTCATGAGTCCAAGTCACATGTCCATGGGTCTTTTGGACTCTTTGGGCCTCGGAGTTTTCACCTAAAATGAGGAGCTGTATTAGATTATTAGGTGATCTCTGATACCCCTTCTAAACACTATGTTTTTCTATTTAACTTGCGGAATATGAGCTCCTCGTAGGTTTAACAGTGTGAATTATTCTGCAAGAGGATGGAAACATAGCTTTGTTTATTGTTGTACTATTTATGTTGGCATATTAAATAATAATAGGCTTTATTATGGCTCTGTTATAAATGTGGTGCCTAGAACTTGGTCTCCAGCCTGAGAGCTTGAGAATGAGGCCTACAAACTCCCCAGCTCTGCTTATCTCTCCTGCACTTGCTGTTCCCTATATCAAAATCTCTTTACCAGTAGCTCTTCCCTCAGCTACCAGTGTGGATTCCTCTTTCCCACTCAAAGGTTATCTTTAAAGTGCCTCTTACACCACTTTTTCTAAGCAGCCTTCCTTCATAGTCATTATTAAACCTGTAGTGTCTGTATTTAGTTACTTGTTAATTGTCTCTGCTGTTCCAGTGTAAGTCCCCAGGAGACCAGGAATGTGGTCTGCCTTGTTCACCTCCACATCCCCAGTGCACAGAGTGGGCACTCAAATATTTGTCGAAGGACTGCCTGACTTAATACATAATAGCTGATAGGATGCTTTGCACACATATCTGTATAAAAACAACAGTAGGCAGTGAGGATGACAGGATTGAAATTCTTGAGTATAATAGCTAGGTGCTTTAGGTCGTAACTGGTGAATCTGCTTCTTTGGGCTGAGCCACAGATGGCTGAAGTAATCATTCCACATGCTGCTGCTGCTTGCCCTGATTTTCTGTTTCTATTTCAACAGCCTGCACTGATCCCTACACTCATGGGCCCACCATGGCAGAGTTGTCTTCTCCCTGTGTCCCACCTCAAGTTCTGTCTTCCACATGGTGTTTCCTTGTCTAGGAGCCACCAGCTGAAGCTCCTTCGAGGTCAGGAGCAGTGGCTTTGTCATCTCCATGACCCAGCATCAAGTGCGGTGCTGGGCATCTGACAGGCACCTGTTGCATGGTGTTGGTAAAAATGAATTGCATCTGAACAATTATATCCAGTGCTGAGGGTAACCATGCTGTCTGCAATTCTGTAACTGCTCAGGCTTTAAAGATGAGAAACTTTCCACTTTGTGATGGACATGCTTTAAATAGGAGCCAGGAAAGTGCTGAAGACAGCTAACTTTAAAGTCAGTGACCTAAGAACAAGGTGTGGTGGAGCATACCTGTAATTCCAGCACTGAGAAGCCTGAGGCAGAAGGATCACAGTGAGCTTAAGGTCAGCCTGGCTGTACAAAAGTGAATTCAAGGCCGGCCTGCACTACATAGTGGACCTTGTCTCAAACAAACAATAAATAAAGTCACTTAAGTTTGACCTTAGATACCAAGGCTCAATTCCCAATCGTTAAAAGGAGGAAGAAAAATAACTCTTATCTTATTTGATTTTGGGGGGATTAAGAGAGATGATACATTTAAAATACCATAGCACTTAGAACATAAGAAGTGTTCAATAATTGTTAACTGTGTGATAGTAATTGTTAACTTTTCTTCCACTACTCTGCTCTCTCTCTCTCTCTCTCTCTCTCTCTCTCTCTCTCTCCCTCTCTCCCTCTCTCCCTCTCTCCCTCCCCCCCGCCCCCGCCCCAGGGGCTTTGCACTGAGCTACATCCCTAGCCAGTATTCTTCAAATTTTTTATTTCAAGACAAGTTCTCACTAAATCCTTAAGTTGCTCAGCCTGGGCTCAAATTCATAATTCCCAGTCAGCCTCCCAAAGTGCTAGGATTATAGACCTGGCTTAGCACACCTGGCTTGTTCCTATTTTCTACTCTGTAAATCTTTAGATTGCTTTATTTAATCTCTTTTTGAGCCTGAATAATTTCCATTGCAACCTCTGAAAAGAAAAAGGAAAGTCTCCAGGAAAAGTGACATTATAAATAATAAGGAATTCCCCAGGTAGCCACTGAGGAAGACATTTCACAGCTCACCCTACTTTGAGGGGGGAAATGCATAGACATAACATTTTTCATTAAGCAGACGTCCTTTCCTCCATATTTCTTCCCATTTCTCTCCACTTTAATCAAAGGTTCCCAGATTTTAAAAGCTAGAAATTAAAACCTGTTCTTTTGATTTTGTGTGTGCATTTGCATTTAGCTAATAATTATTTTTCAGATGTTTGTGGAATAATTCTTGACACCTATAAATTTAGAGGACTTGTTTTCTAAGTGCACTGACAATGCTTAGCATATAAAAAGTAATACTAGTATCTTTTAAATATCAATTGGGCTCTAAAACAGTATTTAATCCAGTATTTCAATATGTTCCATAACACTAAAGAGTAGAAGAAAGTTATCTCTGAATCAGAAGAAAATGGTTAAATTTGAATTTCCAACCCTTCACATAATCACCATAATACTTAAAAGCAGAAATGAGAGTGTGCTTATACCCAAATATGTGTGTTACCTTACAGATGTCAAGATAACCAGTGTGCACTGAGTGCCAAAGAAGCCCTGGGCACAGTGATCAACACTGAGAAGCCACATATTGAGAGAAATTGTCCATAAAAATACCTGCCTCATTGACTCACAAATAAGCAGTGCATAACACCATGCCACTGGTGCAATGTGGAGAGCTATAAAAAGAAAGGTTGGGAGAAGCAGTTTAGGCCTGTCTTGAGGGGTCACTGTGTAGTGGGAGAGAGAGAAAAGGGAGGGAGGCTGAGAAACAGGAGGTGCACAGGTGAGGGCACATGGCATGTCAGCAAAACAACCATAAACTGAAGAGGATGAGGAGCATAGAAAGCGAGAGATAAGCACATTCGTGGGCAGGGGAAATGTAGCATGCTGAAGAGAGATTGTAACTTTGGGAAGTCACAGAAAACGCTTACACAAGAAAATTGTACTACAGAATAGACTCAAAAGGAAGTACAAGTTTTGAGAAATTGAGGCGAAAGTGTCTTATGTACTCACCATATGACTAGAACACTCAAGTGAATTAAGTAAAGGAGTACTAGAATGAAACAAGAGCATTCCAACCAGTAGCTGGACACAAGGTAAACATAAAAGCCCATTCCTGTCCTACACAGTAGCAATAGGCTATTAGAAAAACTGATGAAAAAGGTATAATTCACAAGAAATGAACATTAAATATAGTGCTTATTTTTTAATAAGACGGAGCAGTTTGGTTTTCTCTGTCTATTGAATCAGTGAGCTTCCAGCTAAAATTCCTACATGATTTTTTAATGGAATTTGATGATCTCATTCTAAAATTTGTCTGGAATTGTAATTCTTAAGGATAACCAAGAAATGTTTGTAGAAGAAAGAGCAGTAAGGGAGAACTTGCCTCATCAATATCAAACATCCTATAATATTACCAAGAAATGTGAAAATAGTAATTTAAACCTTTAAAACACAATTTTAACAAACATTTAAGTATTTATAGGGCTTAAGTCAATTTTTCTAACACTGTTTTATAAGAAATGTGTACACTGGAAAAGTTTATAGGTTAAATGAGAGTCATTGAGATTGTAGGAAATAATGTGGGAACAAACACAGTCTGGTGCTTCAGAAGTAAATGCTGACCTACAATTTGGTTTATAGGATCAACACCCAGAGGAAAAGATACAGAATGTCACAGAGAGAAAAAGTCAACCTGCAGGGCCAGCCTGTCAAAGTTCCTCCCCACAAGGCATTCTAGATGTGTCAACATATGACTATTCATTAGATGCAAATTAAAAGCAATGAGACAAGACTACATACCCAACAGAATAGCCCACATCAAAAAAGCCAAATGTTGACAAAGCCAAATGTTGTCAAAAAG